TAACAAGAAAGAATGAAAGGAAGATTGTGGGATGCCATCACTGCCATGAACGATGGCTATTAGCACAATGCATGAATAGAGATGATGATAGGATTGAATATTTTGTAACCATTCTTAGTATAATACTAAAAGAAATTTTGGACTATAAAATAGTGTACTCAAAAGAAGTTAAAAGAACTGTTTCCAGATATGTTTTTCCTTAGAAGTTAAACAATTTAAAATTAAAAGCATCATTTATAACTATTTTCACTATTTCTATTATACAAAAATACCTTTTTATCTATTTTTTTATGGTAAAAACTTAATTCATTTCATTATTAATAATGTTGATACTACAATCAAGAATATGATGAAAAACAACGCTAGAAGCAAAGATGATAGATGACCGTGCAAACGCATGAGCACTACCATTAGCTTCACGCCTAGTAAAAACAACCTTAATACTTTATACAACCTTTTTATCTATTTAAAATCATTTTCTTTTTAAACACCAATACCTTTATTATTAATCATTTTTCATATAACTTGTACTTCCTCCATTCTTAAATAAGTGAAATATGTTGAATTTTACGATATTCACATGTTGTACTTTGAATATGATTTATTTATTAATGTATTAATATATTATATTTTTAAACATACTTTTAAATTTGAATTGCCTCATTGTAAATTTTCAAAATGTGTTATTTTTAATTTTTTTTACTAATAGAGAATTATATATAACAATGGTCAAAGTTTTGCATCAACAAATGTGAAAAGTGATTTGTCGCAACTACTATATATATAACAACAGATAAAGTATAATAAATCATTTCTCAAAAATAGAACCAAACACTAAGCCCATTTACTAAAATGAATAAATGAACAAAATGGAAAAATGAAAAACCGAGGAAATGAAAACTGAAAAACATGTTTTTCTATTGTTCTGCGATTTAAATAATTGTGATTTGTTTTTAATTAAACACATTTAGAATCATCTAGCTATGAAATAAAGTTGCTGTTCTCCTTGTCCGGGATAGTGGAGCACTTACATTTCCTCAAAGGGGTTGCTTTGTGCATTGTGCACCCTCAAAGTTACTTAATACGTATCCTTTAAAAAAAAGGAAAATGTAAACTAATAATCCAACCTTTTAGCAGTCTTCTTACAATAGTCTCACCACCTTTTCGTTATTCATGAATAATCCAACTTTTGCACCTCATCTTCATTCATTGGTCCCTGACCGGTTGATGACCTGCTATTCCAAGTTATTTTCTTATCTTCGCAAATCATTATACCATAAATCTCACCTTTTACAAAGATAATATTTTTGCAAAGATAAGAAAATAACTTGGAATAGCATGTCATTACCCGATCAGAGACCAACGAAGAAGATGGGGTGCAAATGTTGGATTATTCTTGAAAAACGAAAAGGTGAGACTATTATAAGAACACCACTAAAAGGTTGGATTATTAGTTTCCATTATTCTTTAAAAAATTCATGTGACAATTGATCTTCACCTTGTGCGAGCCGTTTCAACAAAAAGAAATTGTGCAAACCGTTTCAAACATTTGTTATTGATTTATTGGTTTGTCTTTAAATTTTAGACTTATTGTTTAATTTTCCATCATCCAGCTTTTGTAAATTTCATAGATCAAGATATATAAAATAATTAAAAAGTAATAGTATATTTTAAAAGTGAAATAAAATTAAAAAATTGCAAGAGTTGTTTTTTTTAAAGAATTCGGCTTATATTAATAACCGATAATTTTTCAGAGTATGGGTCAAAAGACAGAAAGAAATCTGACAACCGTTATTCCTCGAACCAGACTCGGAATTAATCGCCGCAGCAATAAAATTCGCTGATCCATTATTGGGAAACATAAAACCAAAAACGGTCACCATATTTTATCTCAACCCCCATATCCAAAATCAATGTCTTACAAACTAGAATGTAAATAAAGAAACAAACATCAAAATAAAAGCAACACTTATTGTAGTAGCAAACAAAACAAAATAAAAAACACTCCTGCCGCAGCCATAGCACCCAAGAAATCCCTCTGACTGGCGACCTCCACCCTGGAACCTGCATCTTCGGCGGGCTTATGGAACAAAGCCGCCGCCTCCCCATTTTTTGCTCCGTTCAAAGTCATGGTGTCCTCCACGTGCTCCTTCTCTGTCTGAGTCTCCCGTATCTTCCTCCTCTTAGAAACCTTTTCTTTTGGCTCCTCCCCACCTTGTGTGAAGCTTTGTGCTGATTCAGTCATTGATACTTTCTCCTTTTCTACTATCCTTCCATCTGCCTTGGATTCCCCCGGGCCTCCACCCGTTCTGCCAGAGCTCGATGAACCCTCCAAGAGCCAACTATGTCCTCCTGTCGGGCTCGTCTTCACCCCACTTCCCGCTCTTAGTTGAGGTCCAAATCTTTTTTCTAAAACTAAGTCTTCTTCATAATTTAGGGGGAAAAAATTATCCGAATGTCCAATTAAACCACAGATAAAGCAAAAGTTGGGCAATCGTTCATATTTAAAATGTACCCAAAAACTTTTACCATCTTTTTTCAGATTTGTCCCCTACTTCAGCGGTTTATCCACCTTCATAAGAATCCTAACTCTCATATATGGCTCTAATTTATCCTTCTTCTGGTTATCATCATATCTAATAAACTCACCTATAAAATTTCCCACATGCCTGGCAGTACCCAGATTAACAAGACTATAGGGAACATTATGAACATGAACCCAAAATTCTGACTCATTTAAAGTAATTTTGTGTGGAATATCATTAGGCATAACATCTTTTAACATTACCAGACTACGTTCAAACTGCCAAGGGCCTCCATCAAGCACACGCTTCATATCAAAACGATGATTAAACGAAAATATGTATCTTTTTTAACCAATTTCCTTCACCGACATACCTTTCCCCGACCGCCAAAGTGAAAGCATCGTCTCCTTGAGGTCCGGAAATTTGACCTTGCGGTCAGTAAGAACTTGGCCGATCACAGGGAAGCCGATTGCCTCCTCCTCCGCCGGACTGCTCTCAAGCTCCCCTTCATCAAGATTCAGTTCTTCTTCGTCATCACCGATCGCCATCTGCTTATACCGGTCAACGACGCTATCCATAAACCTTCTGTATACACCCGCCTCAGCCGCTGATTCTGCTAATAAAACACCGCATGCACTCTTCGTTCCTCCCTAAAACTCTAGGACTGCCTGAATATAAAGCCACGCCCGCCGCCCTCTTCACCAATCCAAATCCTCCAACCAGCACCTCCTTAATCACCACCCACAACCGCCCAAAGTAGCCAATAAAAACTCGCCCTTCGAATAGTCGAAGGCGGACAAACCAAAGCTAAGGGTTATCGGCCGATTTGCAAGAGTTGTTTTTAAATTATGAAAAGAATACCTTAATATTTTTATTATTTTTTATTGCTCATAAATACACCGTATTAAAAACAATCCCAATATAATTTCTTGAACTTACAAATGAAAAAAGACTACAGTTTACAAATTTTCTAAAACTCATTGAAATTCTAAATACTAGTATATTACAAAGTGTTATGACATAAATAAGAGTGGTTTTTTTAAATATTACTCATAAAAAAGTCATGAGCAAAAATGTAATTTAGTAACTTTTATTGACTATAATTGTGTACAATGTTTACATTATAGTGACTACATCGTAGCAATGCAACTTTGAACACAATTATAATCACTAAATGTTACTAATAGACAGTGGCGGAGCTACGTTACTTCAAATGTGTTCACACGAACACCTAGAATTTTGAAAATTTTGTCTGTGTACATGTATAAATTTAGATTAATTATTTATTGACTTGTCAAATTTTAATTATAGAAAAAATGAACACCCAAAGCTCAAATCACAGATCTGCCACTGCTTATAGAGTATAGTTCTAGAGAAAAGTGAAAGCTAAAGGGAGAAAGTTGAGGTACTAAATGATTTTCTAACCCCCACAAGGGAAGTATTTCTAGAGGAAATGTATGCTAGACTTCCAGGTTTGGCCTCGAGAGACCCAATTACAGTGATGGGCCGTTGAAGGTTGTTTACACAAACTATTCTAATAACTATACAGCGAAAAATGTCTGCTAAAGGTCCTGGTCGAGGAGGCCAAACTGCGGTGATCATCTCTTGAGTTAAGTTATTGAATTTTTTTGGGAAAATGGAAACCAATAATCCAACCTTTTAGCGGTTTTCTTTCAATAATCCCACATTTTGATTATTCATGAATAATCCAACTTTTGCATCTCATCTTCATTCATTGGTCCCTGGTTGGTTAATGACCTACTATTCCAAGTTATTTTCTTATCTTTGCAAAATATTATCTTTGTGAAAGATGAGATTTATGGTATAATGATTTGCAAAGATAAGAAAATAGCTTGGAATAGCAGGTCATCAACCGGTTAGGGACCAGTGAATGAAGATGAGGTGCAAAGGTTGGATTATTCATGAATAACCAAAATGTTGAATTATTGTAAGAAGACCGCTAAAAGGTTGGATTTTTTGAGTTCTTCATTCTTGGGAGTCTTTCTGTCAGTGGCCCTTGTCTCGTCGTTGTGTATCCATGAGTATGTGGCCATGGGTTAACTCACCAAGTCACATTTTCGTTCACCACTTTTCAGGAATATTATCCGTCGTCAGTGATCCCAACACTGACCCAGCAAATCCACATAAGCCAGGGATCGTTTCACATAATTTACATAAAATGTCGATTACATAATTTGCATGTATGTTTTATTATCATTTAAGTTGGATTTGATCTCTGAGATAGGAACAAGTTAAAATATCCTTACACCATATGACTTGGGATGTTTTTACTTTAACTGTTTTGATTCAGACCAGACTTAAATAGATCAAATCAGACGACACCAATTCAGACCAGACCAGACTATATCAGAATTCCATAGTTATAAAATACACAGAGGTTAGACGTTTACGAGACCAAACCAATTCAGACCAGACTAGATCAGACTTAAACAGGACTAGATCAGACTTAAAACATGATCAATATATTTGTTATGGCTATTTATTTATAAATATTTGAAAAAAAAATAACAATATAACTTTTCTAAAGTATAAAATAGTTTATTTAGGAGTAGTAATTAGCTCCTCTGTTCGTCTTCCTCAAATTGCTTCTCCCATCCAAAGCAGAAACATAACTCTAGACTCGACCTCCATTAGTGTCCAATGGCGAGCGCGACATTTTTCAGATCTCTTCGTCGCCGCGACCTAGCTAACTCTTTACCATCGGCCCACGAAACCGTACGTCTCTATAGATTCTCATATTTCCTTAACTGCAGTGCATAATTTTTTTTAATGTATGATTGAATGATATCGCTTTTGTTCCACTATGTAATCGGTCCAAATCATTGTAAATTTTCGATCGAATCTTAATATTTGATATTTAGACTAGCATCTATGTTATGTTCAGATTTATGGTATGCTAAGATTCCAGAATAGACGGATAATCATTCCGGATTTGACATGCTTAACATTCAGAACGGTATCAATCTAAGAATTGGTACAAGAAGTTTGAAAAATCCTGGATAATTTGGGCTACTGCTTGTAAAATGTGGAACTTAAACATTTTGCTTTGTACTAATTCCTTAGCATTGTATATGTGGATTATGCATAAATCAGGCACATTGTGGCCTCCCTGTTTCCAGACATATGTTGATTCCTCACTAAAGAATGTGCATAAATCAGGAAATTAGAATGCATAAGTGCGTAACCACTAGACTTTAGCTATAAGTCACCTTCATACCTCCACGTAACCACAATGCCCAGAGAGACTGAAAACTCATCTGGATCATCTCCTATATCAACTCTTATAAGAGTGTTAAGTTGTCCACACAAGAAACATCATATGCTCTTTAAACACTCTTTTCTTGTACTTTTCGTCTACCACAATCTCCAACTTGGCATAAAAAACAACCATGATTGTGAATGGTGCCTATCTAAGTGGATTTTAGACACTATTGGTTATGCATTCAAATTTCTTTTAGCCTAATAAAACAGGGATTTGAGGACGACAAGTGAAACAGTAGACAGTCATTCTTCATAAGTATCCTTTGGTGGATGGCACAAAATCTTCCACACCATTCCACTAGTCAGGACTCAGGGCGTTTTTATAAATTGCATATTGTGTAAGCCTCATAGTCCAATGAGGCGTAAAGAATATATGTGTGTGTGTGTGTGTGTATATATATATATATATAGATTTTGGTTCAAATGAGAACACACCTTAACGTAAGAAGTGAGAACATATCACAGCCCTTCATTTGAATGCATCTCACGCTTAGTTTTAAAAGGCGCGAGGCGGCATGAGGCGATTCATCGATTTACCCGAGGCGTGAGGCGCAAGGCGACGAGGCGCGCGCCTCACTGAACTAAACCACATATCTTTGGTAAAATATATTTATACAACTTCTACATGAAGCACTTTTCTAAAAAATACTTCTATTAATAGTAAATATATTTACAATAAACTGTTAATACTTATTACTAATCCTAAGCCATTAATAGTAAATTTTAAAATAAACTTGTATATAAAGATTATTAATAACAACAAGCTGTCATATATAATTGACTAATTGTTATAAAATATCAAGAGTATAAAGTTAAACAATCAGATTCACAGATTGAGAAAACATATTTATTATTTTTAAAATTGATAAAATTCGGATTGGTATTAGGGTTTAGGGAAGATTGTTTTTTTAATAAGCTTAGGGAAGATTGTTATATGGTTATATATTTACATAATTTGAATTATTTTTTTTATTTAACAAATAAAAATATAAAGAATAGAAAAACAAGAGGAAGAAAGACAAACAGAACAGAAGAAACGTACCCAGCCGAACAAAAGAAACAAGAGAACGGAAGAAAAAGAAAAAGAAAAACGGCAATGATGTGCGACAGAAAAAGCGGAAGGTTTGAGACTTTGAGTTGATGGAGTGAAGTCTAGGCGAGCAGGATGAATCGCCAAAGGCTTGAAGGAAGGTCAGCGGACATATTCTCCATAAGGCGTGAAAAGCGACGCCTCAAAGAGGCGCGAAAAGCGGCACTAGGCGAGGTAAAAGGCGCGCCTTATGGAATCTGCTGCGCCTGGGATGTTTGGATGCGATGAAGTCATCGCCCAGAGGCGCCTCGCGCCTTTGCGCGCCTCAGGCGCGCTTTTTTAAACCAAGATCTCACGTAAACATGGATTAGTATGATAAGGGCAATTTTGTATTATAATCTTGGGTAGTTTTTTGGTAACTCCTATGATTATTAACGTGCAGTTATTTTAGGAGTGCAATAATTGCATTCCATTATTTCTCAAATATGGCTTAATGTTTTCAACGGAGCCATGTCTCCATTTTTAATAGTTTTTTAATTCATTGAATCAAATATTGTTCTTTCTTAAGAATAATAGTCGTGTGTGTCAAATTAAAGTTCTTGTGCGGTAGCTATAGATGTTTGTAGTGATTTATTGTATACAAGTATATATTGACTTTTGGTCTATGTATGTAGTGTGCGTTAGATATTGATTCTTGTGTTTTACATACTAATCTATGTTTTATAAATGCCTAACATGATAAGATATTAATTAGTTTTCAATTGTTGTGCATTAGATATTGGATTTTGTGCTTATGATATTAATTCTAGTGTTTGTTATACGTTCTTTAAAAAAGTGTTTGTTATATGTATTGTGCGTTGGATACTGGTTTTCGTGCATTATATACTTGTGCAATTTGTATAACTTTCTTGTGCATTAGATATTCGTTTGTATATATATTATTTCATTATATATGGTAGGTTTCACTTTCTTTTTTTTATGAATTTTTTGGTAACTATTATTAAGTACAAGGTGATGAGTTCATATGCATTAGATATTGATGATTGTGCAATAGATACGTGTTCCTGTGCATGCGGTAACCGGATATACTTGTTGTGCTTTATTGTATACATTTTATACATATTTTATTTTTAAAAATTGTATATGCAATATTGATGTCATTTGAAAGATCATAAAAAGTTATTTAATTCGGTATATTTTTTATTAAAATCAGATTATCATTTAAAAAGTTAAACCAATTTTTAAACTAAAGAAATTTTATATTAAAAAACCTTTATTATCACCTATTTTTATGGGAAGTGCCAACTTTCAACGTATCGTGCAATATTAATGTAGGTATTTTAATTACTATAGTGTCCTTCCCCTAATCAACGATTGAATAGAGTGTGTGATTATATTTCAAGTGTGCGCACTTCCATTGTACACCTGTGCATCCATTCATTTTTGGCCTTTAATTTATTAAGATCTATGGTAGATTTGTTCTTATTTCTCACAATAAGGAGTGTTCTCATTAGAACCACTCCCTATATATATATATATATATATATATATATATGTATGTATATATATATGTTTGTGTATAAACACAATAAAAAATAAAGCAATTTATTTATTTATCAATCAAAAGTCATCAAATACTCAAAAAAAAAATGAAAAGTCATTGCATGTCATACTAAATCAAAGTATAATGAGGTCAATCCTTTTTTTATTTTAGTTCAAACTTCACTACCACCTTAATGTCAAGCAAACACAACCAAAACCCATGCACAGCCAGACACTGAAAAGACATAAGCTCAGGGAACATGCTGCCAGATAATGGACACCATGAATATTAATGCTAAGAAGCAAACAAGAAATAATGATACAATGAAAGGCTCCAAAACAAGACACACAAAGAGGCGGTAAGCCAGTAACTCAAGCTTCTTCTTCTCAAAACAGGAACATATCAGCAGATGCAACTATGGGTTTAGTAGGACAAGGCAGCTGCCACGGCTCAAGCAGAACATCAGGAATCTCATGGATATCCACCACAGTCTCATTAACCTCTGCCCACAGTCCCATAATCCTAGCAAAGTAATATGTTCAAAATTTTGGAGTAATCCTAGCAATGTTTTTGAGATAGTTATATCCTCAAAGTTCAAACCACACATTAAAATTTTAAGTTTATTTGATTGATGACTGAAAAATCAATCATCACTGGTGGATTAAAAATCAATCATGACTGAAAAAGCATAACCATAGAACATATTCATTATAAAAATTTAAAAAGTTGGTCGTGTGGGCCCAAATAATATCCTTACACTCTAACCTCCTATTGCATACGCCTCACCACAATATTGTGTACGCCAGACTCCCAATGCTATAGACAATGTCTTTTACGCCATAGTCTAGGAATTGGATGAGGGCTGACCGGCTGAGGCTAGCCATGAGGCACAAATGCACAATTCCATTGCACAATCATAAATTCATAACCAATGGATCCTGATTAGTGGTATGTTCCTTTACCTGGGTTCTATAGTTCACAAGTATTGTGAAATAAATGAAGATGCATATCTTAGAATCAAAACGGGTGGATCAGTGGATGAAATGGAAGAGTATATCATGATTTCTATGTGATCCAGGTATGACGACTAGATTGAAGAGTAAGTTTTATTGAACAACGGTTAGGCTAAAAGTGACTAACCGTTGAGGAATGCGACAATTAGGCTAAAAGTGAGAGTACCGCCTATTGAAGATAAGATGCGAGAGTCTCAATTGTGGTTGTTTAAACATGTGTGTAGAAGACCGAGTGATACGCATATTAGATTAATTGGAAGGTGGTGAGAGGAGACAGAGAGGAGAGGGAGGGAAAAACCTAGACAAACATGAATTAGAGTGGTCAAGAATGCTATCGTTCTTCTTGAATTAGACGAGAGAATGACTTTGGATAAGGCGAAGTGGAAGGCGGGTTTACTTGTGGAGAATTGACCTGATTTTGTGTCTCTCTTTTCCCTTGTTTAAACTTTGATATCATATTTCGATTTATGTTAGCTGACCTCGATCACTTTCGGGAACAAAGTTTGGATTTTGTTGGTGAAAATTTAAGTACGTTGAACCGAGCTCGATGATGTAAAAAATGATTTTTAATGCAAGAAATCTTGATCCACACTGCAGACCACAAGAATGGAGCAGGGGATTGTACACATTGAAGGAAGAAGGTAAATTGGGATGTTGGAAGGCAACTAGTCAGATTGCCCAAGACCAGGAATTTGATAGACTGCTTAAGACCCAGTGGATTTGACAGATTCCTCAAGTTCATAAATTTGATAGACAGTCAATTATTATCAGTTGATGGGGGCATTCATACCCTTTTAAATTCTGTTTTACAATTGGGCTCACACTAGAGTATGGTATCCAGGACACTGCATGTCAATTAGGGTGTGTTTGTTGGCAAGAACTTATTTTTCGCAGTGGATTACATAAGGTGATAAGGGTATCTAATGTTATCCTTGCTATTTAGTACATTAATAATCTCATTTGACTCTTTACAGTTTACACTATCAATTCTTCCAAAAAATACTGAAGTTTTCTTTCGCCTTAATTTGGCATTTATTGAGAAAGTGCAATTCAGTTGTGACTAATGTAAAAGGACTAAAGGAGAGAAACAATACTGACAATAAAAGGGCATCCCGGTGCACGAAGGCATCCACGCAAGGAGAGGGTCCGGGGAACGGTCCTGCCACAAGGGTGTATAAAGGGCAAACCTTCCCTTGTCATTTTTTTTTACAAGAGGCCACTCCCAAAACTTGAGCGGTTGAACCTGGGACCTCTTGGTCACACAACAATAGCTTAACTGGTGCGCCTAGGCTCCCCTTCAGCCCTTCTAAACAATCCTGGCGATACAACTCTTTTTTAAGGAAGCGAGGTGAACATTTTGGGACATCCAAATTGAAAAGTGAAGAAAATTATGGGAGTTGGCATTCAAGTCTTAAATTTCACGAAGACTACCGTATTGGTAGCTCCTTTGACTAAACCCAGATCTTTCTTCAAAGTTTATGCAAAAATGCATGCTCATATATTAATTAATGGCTAAACCTAGAAGTCTCCTCAAAGTCTATTACTAGTTGATGGCTAAATCTAAAGTCTCTGCCATGATGGAGGATGAAATCTCAAATTAACACTTCCATGGGAATATATTAGAACTTAGGTTATGAAAAATTAGGCAAGACTTCATGAGTTATGTGACTTACAGAGGAAATGGCATTTAACCGGAACAAAATACATTGTTTGGTTCATATAGCGACCCACATAGTGCAAAAACGCTTATTTTCATTTAGTTTAAAGTTAGATTTTAAAAGCAGGTATGTTTTTTGTCGTGGAACTGAGAGGCCTGGCCTTAAATGGGGTGATAACAGCGTGTTGCAGGTTAAAGGCCCACTTGCTTCACTCCATTGCTTTAGATATATTGCATCACCTAAATGTATCCTTTTTTTCTTTGACTAATTTGTGTACATCACATGAATGATTTATTTAAATGTTTTGAACTGAATGTATATTTGACATCCAATGTGCAGTTCACTGCAAAGATCAATTCATCACGGGCATTATCTTTTATTGGTTCTAGACAGGCTGGCCTAGCTAGCCAATTCAGGTATCTTCAATTAACTCCTTATGATCACTTTTATTTTCACAAAACAAATTTTCTGTCATCCACATTTTGTTTTCTTTTTTAATGCAGCTCAAACTCCGGTAGAAATGATAGTAGTGGTATTTACTCTGCAAATGTGGACTCAGATATTGAGCACAAGGTAAATTCTTTTTCCTTACGTTATTTACTGCCACTTGTAACATCTATTATCCGCACCCTAATGTGATCAACTTGTGTAATGTTCTTAGGTAAACCCATCTGTGGTTGCATCTTACCAGAAGGGATTATTTGTTGGTTTGCCAACCAAGCATATTGAGTTTCACCGGGTAATGATAGTGATGCGTTTGAGTGAAAAATAACATGACCTGGTCTCCTGATGATTCTTTGCTTCAATTTATGTTGATATGGAGAAGTCATTCTGTATATAACATTTTTGCATAATAACATTTCAGGCTTTCTCCACAATTGCGGATAGACCTGCAAACGTAAGTGATGATGGGAAAAAGGTCCTTCGTCCATTATCACCTCACCTCGCTGTTTATAAGCCTCAGACAAGTTCAACATCATCTATTCTACATAGAATATCTGGAGCTTACTTAGCTGCCGTCGTTTTCGGCTTTCATGTTATTTATCTGAAAGTAGGCTCAGTTTGCCTCAGCTACAACAATTTCTACCAATTATTTTTCTATTCATCAACTATCAGCCAACTTGCTCTTGCAATAGCTCCCGTAGCAATTTCCTATCATGTGGTCAATGGGGTTCGCCATTTAGTTGCGGATTTTTCAGGATATCTCTTTCCAAAAATTGCAAGAAACAAGCTGAAAGGGCTGTAAAGTGGGACGACTCAAGTATTTACCTTGTTCCCGATAAAACTTTGTGTTTTGCTATACTATTTACTCATTTTCTGCAATCTTGTCATTCTTGTGCATTTCTAGATCCCAGAAGCTCTGATTCTTGGTACACCCTGGATTGGATCTGATCTTACATCATCTGATGATGATATTTGCAGTTGAAATAGAAACAAACAAGTGGTTTTTGAATAAATAAATATTGTGAATTATTATTGTATTTGCATTCAGCATCCCCTCATAACCATTTCTTATTAAAATTCAAATTTGAATAAAACTGAAACGAATATCAAATGCACACCTAGTATATATTTGGCACTAATATTTGGCTGATCCAAAGATTCAATTCAAATAGGCCGAAGTCGAGGGATTGGGTGGTTAAGTGCAATTATCTTGGGTCTAACAATAAACTTCAAATTTGACTTGTGGTTTGCATGTTGAGCTAACTTGTTTAAAACTCAACAGGCATAAAAGATTAAAAATATTTGTCAGTTAAACTTTTTGGTAACTGTTTTTTATAAGGCATATTCTTTTATATTGCCATGTTTGGCAAAACGAAAGTGTTGTAGCAAACTTAGGGAGTGTTTGCAACTGCTTCTACTTAAAAAAAGCACTTTTGGAGATGTAAGGAAAAAGTGATTAGTAGGAAAAGTTGATAGTGTTTGAGAAAAAAGTGATTTTGAAAAGTTAAAGTTGATAGTGTTTGGTAAAATAAGTGTTTTTTGTGTAATAGAAAGGGGAAAATCACTTTTCACACGCAAGCCGAGAAAAAGTAAAAATTGGTAGTGTTTGGTAAATAAGTGCTTTTTTAAGCCAAAAGCTGAGAAGTGCTTTTTTTTAAGTGATTGCAAACACTCCCTTAATTCTTGTCCATGCTGGTAGCGTGTAGGGATGGACTCGGGCCGGGCGGCCCGGCCCGGGAACTGGTCCGGGGGGCGGTTCGGGTCAGCCCGGCCCGGTAGGAATGCGGTTCGGGCCCGGGCCCTAGGATTGGTGAACCGGCCCGGCCGGTTCGGGCCAAATTAATTGTTTTTTTGAATTTTTTTTTTAAGTTTTTGGGTTGGGCTGGATATTTTGGGCCATTTGAGGTGGTTTGGGGGTGAGGGGGAAGGGTTGGGGGTTAATTAGGAGAAGCCAAAAAAAAAACGAGACCCGGCCCGGCCCGGACCCGGGATTACCCGGGCCGGTTCCGGGCCTCCCATTCCTGAACCGAGGCCCGGCCGGGCCCAGGCCCGAACCGGAACTGGTCCACCCCTAGTAGCGTGCGATATTGAAGAATGTAAATAATCTGTGGTTGAGATAATTTAAAAGACAGAAATATAGTGAATCATATATTGTTTTTATTTGTGAGAAATGACTCAAATGAGAGAATGAGAAAAATAAAAGGCAAATAATTTAGGGTCTCAAAGGGTGTTACGAATCTTACTTCTACTGCTTTATACTAAGGATAGATAAATTCTTTTTAAATAGACTCTAGGCAAGTAGTTAAAAATAGTTGAGGAGTGAAAATCTATGTTGTAAAAACCGGACCGGAGAGTGACCCGGCCACATGACTGGGTCACGGGTCAACCCGGACCCGGTGGGTCAACCCGGTCAACGCCGGAAAACCGGTCAATGATTATACGTCTATATAATAATAGTAAACATATAATTATATAAAAAATTATAATAAAAATTAGTTATTATTCATAATAATCAACTAACAATACTACTTATTAAGCATTTAATACTCTTATAATATTTCAATGCATATTTTGATCTTATAAAAATATATAATGATATTTTTATTTTTATTGTATATCTATATTATAATTTGGCATGATGTTCATTATTAAATATATATATATATAAATATATTACGTAGTTTTTCTTTTTAAGGTATTGAATTTGCAATTTTATTGGTATAAAAAATGCATTAAAAATAAAAAAGAAATTACTTTTTTTTGGTAAAAACACCCAAAAACTGGGTTTTACCGGGTTTCTTGGGTCCGGGTCTTGACCGGGTTTTCCCGGGTCAACCGAGTTTTTCCGGTTTTTGACCATTTCCGGGTTTTGAAAAAACCGAACCAGTTTTTTGTCCGGGTCACCGGGTTCCGGGTCAACCCGGCCGGGTCGGGTCGGTAAATACTATCGTAGAACCGGCTGTACCTAGGGCATGGTACAGCCGGGTATTTTTGCAATTAATTAGAATTCCAATGGTAGAATCTTCCCTAATGTGCTGCTCGCTGATGTCCTAGGAGCTGTTGAAGGAGGCGCCGATCAGTACTGCTCGCTTGCTCAAGTTCGACCTGGAGTTCCGATCGAAGCTATTTGCTCGTTGTTAGCTGGGAGTCCGGCTGAAGAGGAATACGGGTTGCTACGGCTTTACTCCTCTGTCTTGTTTTTCGTTTTCTCTTTTCTTCTTTTCAGTTTCTTGCTTTTCACTTTTTGGTTGATTTTTAGTTTCATTTCTTTTGTTGTTTTCTCTTTTTAGTTCTTTCTTTTCTTTATTTTTTTTCTTTTACATGCTTTTATTTTTTATTGAATTATTATGCAAATTTATAATCTAAAATATGGTTAAAGTTTAGTTTGTTTTTTCTTCTTTTTCCAATCCACCTTCTAATTTAGGTTTTTTTTTTAATTTATGCATTATATGTATGCTCATTTGGTACTGATGTGATGCTCATATTAAAATGTTATATCAATACATATTTCAAAAGTAGCAAATTACATTAGATTCAAGTTGGATTTAATTACATATATGAAGGCACGAATCATGATATTCAATTGCATGTTTTAATACTCGATAGAGGCGATTTGAACTCAATAAAAACGTCTTGATGCTCAATCGGTACTCAATTACATGCTTTTAATACTCAGTAGAGGAGGTTTAATGTTCGATGAAAAATGTCCGTATGCTCAACATATTAATGCTTATTTTGTAAGCTACATATGCTCAATCGATACTGATATTATGCTCATTTTTTATGAAGCAGAGATCACGATTCTGAATATTAGACTTCTAATACTCAATATAATAGGTTTGATGCTCATTAAAAGTTCATTAATGCTCATTCAGCAGAAACCGTGAATTTCATCTCAATAACGAAGGTTTGATGCTCAATTAAAATGTTGTGATGTTCAACTAACAAAACAACTAAAAAATTCATTAATACTCATTTTGTAAGTTACGTATGCTCATCAGGTACTGATTTTATGCTCATTTTGTAAATGTCATATCAATGCATTTTTAAAAGTACTATTCTAAATTACATTCACATATTGGAATTCATAGGAGTTGATTATAAAGATAATGTAATAAGTTTTTATAAAAGAAAAAATAACAAAAAAGAAAGTGAATTAGAAGTTATGAAGCAGAGATCATGATTATGAATATTGGACTCCTAATTCTCAATATAAAAGGTTTGATGCTCATTAAAAGTTCATTATTACTCATTTGGTACTAATGTAATGCTCATTTTTACAATTCATATCAATGCATGTTTCAAAAGTATCATATTATATTAGACTCGCATATTGAAATTAATAAGACTGGATTATAGATATAATTTAATAAATTTTTATAAAATAAAAAATAAGAAAAATAAAGAAAATTAGAATATATGAAGCAAAGATCGTGAAACTCATTGTTAGCCTTCTAATACTCAATAAAATAGGTCCTATGTTCACTAAAAGTAGACTATTGCTCATTTAGCCGGAACCGTGTTAAATGAGTATGCTCAAATATTAATTGTGAATACGTAACGTTTGAAATGAGTAGCAAAAAGTTCAAAATAAGCGTTACACCAATATGCATGAATATGAATAATTTAGTAAATGAATCTAATCGAGTGAATATATTACATGTGTGGATTATAAAAATGAGTTTTATGATATACTGAATGAGGTTTAAACCAAATGAATATTGATATGACTTTAAAAGACGAGCACGACAAAGATTTAAAATAAGCATATAATAATGAACAATATGATCATTTTAAAGTTATATATGCTCATTCAGTATGTGTGTTTTGCTCATTTCAAAATGTCATATTACTGCACATATCATAAGTATCATATTTTCATTCGCTAGCTAGTTGTGTTCATTTTAAAATGCTATATTAATGCAGATTGTTGTATATAATTGTTACGGCATACTCATATGAAATTGTTTTTTGATCATTTTATAATTTCATATCGATGCTCATTTCTTTTAAACATTATAATCATTTAAATATAGTATAAAACTCATTTCCATGCACAATCCACAAATCTAATTACATTCATTTGTTAGACTATCGGTAGATTTAGCCATTAGATATATAACAATTTTTCAAATTCTTATTCTAGAACTACATACTTTATTATATTTATTTTATAATGTTACACCTATGCACATTTACTCTACACATTATACTCATTTTAATTTAACAAAATACTCATTCCCATATTACACACGTAATAACTAAACACATTAAATTTTAATTAATAAATTAATGAAGTTTACTATTTTTTTACAAAAAATTAACATACTGGAAAAGTATATCTCAATCATTTTACAAATTCTTTAAACATCAAATTCAATGCAAAACAAAAAGGGAGAAGGGGCAAATAAGCCCTCGAACTAATAAAAAAAGTGCATATAAGCCCTTTTGTAGAAGGTTCTGTCCGATCATTGTCATTTGGGGAGGTTCTCGGTGGAATTTTTTGATGAATTTTTTTGAGCATCTTCTTTATTAAGTCTAGTTTAGTCATACCAAATTTCATCTAAAAATTCAACCGGGAAGGCACTCAAATGATTTTCGGAACTACACTACGTTGTTTAACTGCGCAGTAATCTTCAAAAATTCATTTGACTGTCTTCCCGATTGATTTTTTAGCTGAAATTCGGTATGACTATACTAGACTTAATGAATAAGATGCTCAAAAAATTTCATCAAAAAATTCCACCGGGAACCTCCCCAAATGACGATAGACAGACGAAACCTCCTACAAAAGGGCTTATTTGCACTTTTTTGATTAGTTCGAGGGCTTATTTGCCCCTTTTCCCAAACAAAAAACATCTAAAACTCGTTAAAATTATAAAAACAGAATAAAGTTAAATTCTAACCATAACAAGAAATATTCTCAAAAAATAATGCATATCTCAGTATTTTATATAAGCGTAATAAGTGATAAAATATTTGATCAAAAAAGAAATTAACATTCACTTTGTCATTTTTTCAAACAGTTGATGTGCATTTATATTATGAGTCAATTTAGAAAATTGAATCATTGTTTTTTTTACCCCGGAAGGCAAACCACCAAAATCAGTGGGGTAAATGTTGGGGGATCATTT